TAAAAAAATAGATTTGACAGTTGATATTGACGATTAAAATGAATCATCAAGTGTTTTATTATTTTTTTTTCTCAAATAAATTAAATATCATACTTTAAAACTTCAACTTTCCTGATACCTTTGAAGCACGTACGAAATTCTCGATAATTAGTGTCGTGCGTCGTTGACATTTTTTATCACAGTTACGAATAGGGTGTGGGTGTGATGTGTGAATCGTTTGTCTTCTATGCACCCATATCCATATCCCCCCAAAAAGAAGATCAGATCAACAATTCTCTAGATGATATTAAAGATTCGAGTACGACTGAAATGATGAATTTCGATAATCTCTTTCGAGGTTTTATATTAACTCAATCATTTGTACGTGGTTGAGGAAATCCATTTCATGTACAAGAAATTTTTACCTATCAATGTGAAAAAATTGGTGTCAGAGATGAATGTTTGAAACTTGTACCCGCTGAAAGTATACAAGAAAATACTGTTGAAATAATTAAACAAGAAATAAAAGGTAATCAAAATTATATAAATGCTTGATTTCGTTCACCACTTGCTAATTATTTACCACATTTGGTAAGAAATTAAAATCATTTTAATTGTTTATTAATATGATCTTTTTTTTCTTTTGATATATTTATCTGAATAGGTTCCACCTCAAGTAGCTATAGCTCATTTTCAACTTGTTCTACCACGTGATCATCGTTTTGGTGTTGATACAATTTCAATAGGAATTTGTTTTACTGGAACAGATGATCATGGTTTTAGTCGACGACGGTTGCTTACTACAGTCCCATTAATTAATCAATATCGTATAGGTTCAATTCTTCTTGCAAATCCATATTATGGTTTAAGAAAACCACCAGATCAATCTCGCTCGTCATTATTGTATGTTACCGATTTATATATTATAGGTAAAACACTTGTATTACTTCAGTGATGTCAAAAAATGAAATTAACATCAGCTATTCTACATGGTTTTTCTCTTGGGGGACATATGGCTTCATTAGCATTTACAAAGTAAAATTCAATTCTATTATTTGATCCATTTACTAGATGGATATACAGTACCTATCATAATTTCAAATAGTGATTCAAGTAGAGCAAACCATATTACAAAAAGAATATAAATTGAACAAATTGATTATTTGATTCGCTAAGTTAGAGTTTTTAGAAAACTAAAAGCCTAATTTCTCAGTATCTAGTACTTGCGCTCTCTACGGCAGTTTTTTGTTGAGTAAAAGTTGAATAATTTAGGTAGCCATTGTATATATATTTATATTTTAGTTGGCCTGATCCACTTTCTCTCTTATCCTGTGCTTCTTGGTCATCAAGTTCAACAGTATTTTGTGATGGTGTACTTTCTAAAGCCTGTCAAATATTTTATGATTATTTACGTGAATGAAATAGATCGATAGATTCAAATAGGATTGTTCTCGATCCTATTAAAGATATTTTTACATAATTATTCACGTCCAATTTTATCAAATATATCTAATGCTATGTTTATTGCTTGTACACATGATGGTATTCCACATATGAACGATGTATGGCCTGGTGTTCATATTCGATATATTCCTCATGGATATGTTATTGGATTTTTATTTAATCGAGCAGGTTTTCATCATGCTGTTGCTGAACTGTTACAACGACAAGAACCGAGTGTAAAACTAAAAAAAAATTCAATAATATCACCAATTTCTATTACTATACCTGAAAATTCGTGAAGATATATATATTTTTATATATTTTGTCGAAAAGCAGCAAATATTTCCTTATTTTTGTGTTATGATTTGAATAATAACTCAGAAAAAAGTTTAAATATAATTTGTATGACTATGATAAAAACATGAGCAAACATCTTTTCTTGTTCTATTTGTCAGCAAATAGATATTGAGAGAATCTCTCCAACTGATATCTTCAGTTTGAGCTCATAAGTAGGACTCGTAGCCGTGATAAAAACATTAAACTTGTTCGTGCTCTTAAGCCTTTCATGATCGTTTTATTAAATTTTCAGCATATCACAGGATATTAGCAAAAAAACCTGTAATAAGGAGTTTCTATTTGAAATTTTCTCCAACAACAGATCTCATAGCATTTATTACATTCTGAAAGTTTTAGCTCAAACGAATGAATCTAAGTCAACCAATCAGACAGTGAGATCAGTTACAGATTCTTGCACGTTCATACAAGGTCGTACAGTTTGATTTCACTACATTTCTTCAATCCTTTACAATAACTCATACAGCTTAAAGTTCTCTTCTTTATAGATTATCACACCATCCATACGCATACATGTGACTATATCCTTAATATCAAATAAAACTTAGTTATTACTTGAAAAAAAAATGCATAACTATTCCTTTGCTTTATTCGTATCTGAGAATTTCAAATATTCACTCTAGAATATTGTGTAGTGAACATAAAGACACAATAAATAAATTTTATTTTGTATTTTCATATAATTTTGAAATTATTCATAGAAGATCAATGAAGAAATGTATTTCTATATAAAATATAGTCTATTGGTATTTAATGTTGGGAAAAAAAACCAAAAATAAGCAGAGTGACAAAAAAATGTTAGTTTTTTTACGATTGTATATTTATGCTTCATAATTTACATTCTATGCTGATACTATATACTGAGTTTTCTAACGGTATTAAATGCTTATCGATATTTTGTTTTTAAATAGATCTTAAAATATGAATATTTACGTAAAACTATCGACACATCCTGATAATATCCGATTTTCTGTTTAATCAAATAATATTTTGACTTAGTATGGCCTATTACTATGTGTATCCGATTGACTTATGAAAAAATCGTTGAAGATTTCATTTGTATCAATCAGCATCTATTGATTATGAGAAATTATGAGAAGAAAACCTCAGAATATATATCTACATTATCATGTGTATCATATATCTTTCTGACTCTTCGTTACCCAGGTCCAATAAAACGGCGTCGTAAACGGCCTGAAACGGCTATAAAACGGCCTGAAACGGCTATAAAACGGCGATTAACGATGTAAAACGTCGATAAACGGCACCGTAATCCGTCATACCAGATTACGGAAGCAAAATCGGAAAAAACGACCGCCGTTTTTTAGCGATAGACGGTGGTCGTAATACGGTATGACGGATTACGGCGAAATAAGGCCAAAATTACTGCAGTAATTCGCCGTTTTATAGTCGTTTCAGGCCGGATACGACGCCGTTTCCGACGGCCGGAATGATCCACCTGGGTAGTCAACAAAACCTCTGTTAACTATCAATAATATGTAATGAAATGTCTCGTTGCTAGTCATTGTCTAATTTTGAACGATTCCAACCACCTCATATTATATAGAAATGAACATCGATTTCTGTACTCCATCTAAAAATGAATTTCATTGAACAAATATGAATTTTTTTTCTTTTTTGTCATTGTTCTTCGTCCACTTTTCTTTTGCATGTTTTACTGTTGCCATGTACAGTCCTTTTCAATAGAGTATATATTTGAAAATAATTTAAAAAGAAAACGAAATAAAGGCAGGCAAAGCAAACAAAAATGGAGCAGAAAGTGTTGCCATGCTGCAAAAGTAAGAAACAAATCATTTGAAAAACACAAGCAAATATTGTAAGTCGCAAAAAATTCCAATCAACAACAGCAGCACACAATCAATATTATCCAAGACTCTTCTGTTGCAATAACTTTACCGTGGTGAGTAAACCATTAGAAAGATTCAAAAAGCAACAGAAATCATTTTAAATGCTAGATACTTAGTGCCAAGACGATGCGAATATTGAAAACGATTGATACCCATATGACATTGACAACCATGATCGACTTTATTTAAACCGATCGATTTATCAATGTCTCTCAGTTTCCGATCGCGTTTATTCACTATTTTGCAACTGTCTCATATTTGTTTGAAATTTTATTTATCTCAATTCTCTGATGCGGTCTATATCTAGCATGATTTACCTGTCTCCTCTCCTATTCTATTCCTCAATTTCAGTTATTAAAGAGATAAGAAACGACAATCTCTACAATGCACCTGCGAATTGAATGAGGTACTGTATACTTAGGACATGGACACAATCCTAAACTATGGATGTGGGTAAGCGTAATACTGGACAAGTTTCTGGTCGCAAACCAGGATGTGGATGTGAGTATGTATTCTAAGAAAAGATCCAGACCCACTAATCCTAGCCGTCCACACAAACACTCACGCCCACCCGCATCCACATTCCTCCCCCCATCACCCCAACAAACCATCATCCACACCTATCTACCAAGAAGATTCAATCCGGCAGTAGGACCGACTCGGATCCGATCGGATTTTATATGAATTTCTATAAAACTGGAGAAATCTCATCGGAATCCGGAACCCGCAACGACATTCGGATCTCTAGTGTTGGAATCCTATGGGATTCTACTGCTGGAATTTGACGGAATCCAACGCACCACTCTTACTGACCTCTACTGTTCGCACCAATTAGTAACTAGTAGTCAACTAATTAAATATGTTTCACCTGTCGGATCCGTGAGTGGTTCCGTGTCCTGGACTCCCATAGGATTTTGTCGATGTGTCGGATCCGATCAGATCTGTTGCCGGATTCATTCACCTGGAAACATGTACACCCTCATCCACGCCAACACCGACATCCACATCCTGTGTAGATGCGGGTATGATTATCCGTGAGTCCAATTGTTTTGTGTACTCTGATCGACGCTCTAACCCACCTACATACACCCAGACATCCACATCTATACCCACATCCACATCTATACCCACATCCACACCCAGACACCCACATCCATATCCACACCCACACCCACACACAGACACCCACATCCACACCCAGACACCCACATCCACACCCAGACACCCACATCCATACTCACATCCACACCCAGACACTCACATCCATACCCACACCCAGACACCCACATCCATACCCACACCCAGACACCCACACCCATACCCACACCCACACCCAGACACCCACACCCAGACACAGATCCACAACCACACCCCACACCTACCTACACCCGTTTGCTTGTTTCCGATTTTTAGGTGAAACTTGCAGAGAAACGCTTGATGTGTTACGAAGAAACCCATACGACTGATATTCTCCGCCTGAACTCATGTTTTGCATTGAGAGCCCCCATAGTGTAGATAAAACCCCTAAAAGGTTTCGTGAAATTAGGTCTTTCTTCTCGAGTCATGTCAGTTTTAGCGAATTTTCAGCTTATATCAAAATATTACGAAAAAAACAGTAACAAGGAAATTCGTTTGAAAATCTTTCACAATAATAGAACTTATGGTCCATATAATAGTCTAAAAGTTTCAGCTCGAACTGATAATTCTTTCTTAATATATCGAATACCTAAAAATGAACTATTTTTGAAGCTGTTATAATAAAGCAGTTTTTGGTAATATCCTGCAATAGACTCAGAATTCGGTAGAATGAACATGAATTCGAGAAGAAAGACCTAATATCAAGAACCCTGTTAAGGTTTTTATCCACAATATAAGTCCTGTCAATGCAAGATATCAGCTCGAGCTGAGAATACCAGTCAGATGGATCCCTTCATTTATTAAGTTAAGCGCATAAAGTGTTTTCATCGATGTTTAGTTATTCTTTGTTGATAACTGAAACACGTTGAGTTTCGTTTTTTCCTGCTAGATTGGCAAAATGTTCGGTGTTAACCTAATTTCATTTTTTTTAATGTTTTCTGAGGGCACACTGAAGCAAGTATATACATGTAAAAACAAAGAAACACTATCTTGATATATGTATATAATATGGCTAGCAGTCAGAGTAGACAATAAAAAAAAGAAGAGAAGAGAAGAAGAACAAGAAAAGATATACAACGAAGACAGTATGATCTACTACTAGTGTTACTGACATAGATCAAACTAATCACTATTACTGTGTTGCATGTTAAATATCATGCCTCGATGTTGTCTAAAGAATATTGAAATTGGCACTACCATAAATGAGTATGATATAGTAGTTATGTTCGTAACAATTATGTACATTGAAACAATAGATTCTACATGAAATGAATACAGTCAACCGAATATATAATAAGTACACATCAAACTCCTACAAAACTATTCTATGCTGTCTTGTACATCGTGTGCATTGTCATCTTTTCGCTCTGTAAACACGTTTTCCAAGTTATATATAATTCGTTCTTTTTTGATGTTCTTTCAGAACGCTTTGAAGTATGAGATAACGCAATAAGGAGTCTTGGGAAGTTTGCAAAACATTGCAGAGATGTATACTGAAACGTGTGACAGCTCCGCTACGTTCTGGCACACAAGTGTAGTTTTTTTCATTTTTCTTATCGTTACTAATCATTGAGAATATCATCGAAGAAAAGAGAACATAGTATTCTAGCATTCTCTAAATGACTCAAGATGAATGTAATTATAATGAGGCTAGTCGCATAGTCTTCGAAGTACGGATCTCTTACTGAATTCTCACTTGGTTTCCATTTTTCAAAATATTTGGCAATAGCGATAGAATAAGACAGAGAGAGAAATGAGTTGAAATTATATTGAATCGTGCGCGATTTTATCTTATATCCGTATGCGAAAATGAAAGTAGTGCTTGTGTAGAAAAGTTGTCGAAAACTAAAAATTGATCGATGAAGATGGTTCTTTTTCAATCAAGAAAATCTTATCCCCTCCAAGTCGTCAAAGACGGGTCTTAAATTCATGATATCAATTCACGATTAAAAACATAAGTGTTTTTATAAGACAATTTCATAGCCAGCCATAGGTTTGACTTTGTTGCTTGAAAAAGTAATGAAGAAAGGAGAAAATCGTTTGAATAGATACGACTAAGCGTCAAAGCTGAATCTTGATTGATGCATGAAAAGATCATTATATTTCCTAGAATTATAATCAGCTTCTTGAGAAATTTTAGGAGAATGACTTGAACTTTTTCTAGATTTTATTTGACCAGATTTCCATTTAATTGACATGTTTCTAATATTAATAGCTTGAACGAGAATCTGTCGTGTTGTTCCTACCAGAATCCCCACAGAAATACAGAGAATTAAGATGAACACGATTCGTTTTTTTGTACCTTTAACAGAATATTATATCTGTTGATAGTTACTATAGGTATGTTTTTTCTTGCGAGATATTCTTCTACATTGAGAGTGTGCATATTTAGACACGATAAGCTAATAGTATTTTTTTTTTAGTTTTTACTTGACAAGCGTTATCAATAAATTCGTTCAAAATCTTCATTACATATTCAAAAATGGCTTCGAAATACGTCGACATTGATGAAGAACCAGCACACACACAACGTTTTTCGGATATCGCTGGAGAACCTTGCCGAATGCTAATGCCGATTCAAGGATATGAAAAAAAGCCTCTTGTTTCACTTGAAGATGCTGTGGAACCTATCGTTTTGTATGTACCTGATGTGAAACGAATGGCCTATATTGCAAAAATGAAATGTGCAGAGCTTTCACCAGGAGGATTACCCATAGATCAAGCAGCCTCAATCACGCTCTATTCAATTGAATGGGAGCCTCAAGAAGAATGTCTGTATTATGTATTAAATCAGACACTACGAAATGAAAATCGGCAAAAAGTGAAACCGTGGTTTCTTTATCTCCGGCTGATTCTTACTGCACTGGCTCAACTGCCGTCATCTGTTTGTTATGTTTATCGTGGAGTTAAACGGGACATGAGAAAAGAATACCCAGAAGGAAAAACATTTGTTTGGTGGGGTTTCAGTTCTTGTACATCCAAGATAAGTGTACTCCAGAATGAACAATTTTTGGGTACAACAGGCCCAAGAACTTTCTTTATGATTGAATGTAATAGTGGCAAAGATATCCGAGAATACTCCTGTTTTAAAGCTGAAGATGAAATTCTTCTTCCAGCTGCAAGACAATTTAAAGTCGAAGCATGTCTTAGCCAAGGTAAAGATCTCTATCTCATACAACTCAAAGAAATTCAACCACCATTTCCGCTGATTGAACTTGTACCAACAGTAAGATCTTACATCTATTACATATTCATTAACACATATAGTCATTCGTTTTTTTCTCTAGACACCTGCCACAAAAGTTCCAGCAGCAGCAGCAGTAGCAAAAGTGCCAGCACCACTAAAACCAATTGGCAGGTAATTTTGCATCATAGACAGTATAATAATCGATAATCTATTCTCTTTATGTTTAAGTTCTTCTGAATCAAAAACGACAACCACAGCACGAGGTAGGATTGTAAAAAATTAGTTTTCTTTTATCATCAATTAATAGAGAAACCTATGTCGATAGATAAAAATAGATGAAGAGTAAGAATTACATACCTCTTCATAAATTGATCAATAATTCGAAAGAGTTAATCAGAAGAAACGAGTTCAAATCTGTTTCAAGAGAAAAATTTTCTTGGTTACCAATAAATCAACGTATTTCTTAGATATTTCAATAGAGACTATTATAGTTTTCCTAGAGCTATTATTGTTGCCTGTTAGATCGACTCAATGTAGAGGTATTGACAAGTAAATATACTCGCTTCTATTGGCTGTTAAGTTATCAATAAGAAGTTTTCTTTTCTGAAGAAGAAAATCTAGTACAAAAAAGCAATTGGTCAATGCATGAGCACCAAATTTTGCTTCTCGACTAGTGGAATGTTCGTTTTTTTTTGTTCATGCCGATAACTAAAGAATGCAGAGACGTATGTGGAAAACTAGTTGCGCACTATTCGTGCGTTCCTGTTAAACGATCGCCCATAATTTAGAAATTGGATTCAGAATGGAGAACAAACCTACGTTGACTTGAATCGAAACCAAAAGACAATATGTTTGTTTTCGATCACGAAAAGAAAATTTTTTGAACACAAAAAATTACTTTCGATTTAAAATATAGGATACGTGAGAACAAATATCATACTTAAAGACAGAAGGAAATAATGTCAGTAAAAAGCAGGCAGATATGTTTTAACGATAGTTCGACATTTAATAAAATTTAAGGATATTATTCTCCTGAAACTTCATTAAAAAGATGTTTTAGCACAAATTTTGTTATTAGTTCTGGTCAAAGTGTCGTAAAATAACTTTTTATTTTAAATGAATGCAAAATAGATCCAACCCAGATGAGGTACTTGAGATAAAGTTTGGTTGAAAAGAGAAGTCAGTTCTCTTTTTTGAAGCTTTCCGAATTTCTCTACAACAATACGTGTTGTATGAAACCCCATAAAAATTTACATAAAGGTTTATGTTGAATGTGGTATATTTTACTGACGACAATGAAAGAATCGTCTTGTTTTCGGCGTGAATCAAATCTGAATTCGAATCTAGATTTTCTTATTCTTTTTGGTCTCTATTTCCCAAAGTCATTGTGCTATTTCAATTTGGAACAGTTTAAAGTGGAATCTTTACAGCTTCTAAAGAAAAGAAACTCCAAAAAAGTTATCGAAGAATTAGAATTGCGCGTTTGAATATGGAGAGAAAACGATTTCTTTGACATACTTGATCAATTGTGGGGTGAATATTTAAAGAACTCTATTGATCCTCTTTCTCATCGTCTTCGTCAAATCTTTGATCCATCGCTTTCACTCTGATCTAGAGTTGTGACCAGTAACTGTAAAAGGTCATGCTAAACTTTTTTTAGTTTTTGCTTGTTTTCGAAAATCAAGCAATTCCTACTGACATTTTATTAACTTATATTGATTTCGAGTTATGTTATCCAAAAAAAAACAATTACTTATCTGTTGTTGCTTTATTTGTAATGCCAACTATTTATAGTATATACTTCATACAAACATAGGAGATAATAAAGTAAATAAAATGTGGGAAGTAGATTAACTACCCAATGAATTAATAATGTTCATACATGTTGATTGGTTAATCAGTGCACAAAGCTTATGAATTAGCCAATGTTAGCCACGATCCATTTTACTCAATCAGAGATTTTAAACTTTGCTTGCGCTATCTCATCTATTCCTTTGAAGAAAACCTATGGGCAGGTAATTTTCTATTGTAATTCTGTACAAATATTCGAAGATTTCGTTTAAAAATTTTTTGAAAGACCCTAATATCTTCATAGAGAAATTTCCAATAAGGCTAACAATTTCGATCTGAACCTAAAACAACATGCACTATTACGTAGTAGGAGTAAAGACGTATTTGGCTCGTTAGTATACTTTTTCGTCTATATAATGAATGTTCCAGAAATTTCGACTCGATTTCAACGATAGATTTTTCTGTATTGAAATATGTCATTAAAAAGTTGTCTTTACTGGAAAAAACGTACAGTAAAATCAGAGCTCTGAGAAATAGCAACATATAGATGATGCTATTCCATCTACTAAGAAAACTATTAGGTTAGGAATGTGTCTGATATAACTATATGCGAATAAACCCCATATAGAAGAAAAAGTGAAAAAAAAGCACTTTTAAGTAACTGTAATATTAATAAAGTAAACTAAAGTAACTTTTCTTACTGGGTAATTCCATGGGATGTCTACCATAAAAACACAAAGTGTTTTGATTGTTTTGTTTTCTATCAG